AACAACAAAAAGTGGAAACTTTTTAAGTAGGCAAATCTGTCCCAGTACAGAAGTAAAAAAGCAAAGGGCAGCGGTCCTGTGTCACTCTGAGGCCTCAACCTGGACAGTAGCAGATGGGGAACTGCACCTCCTGCAGTCAACAGGCTTTCCTGCACAAGATAGACGGTATCTTGTTACACAAAATGTGGAGGTGCTGGTCAGACCTCAGGGTAGATCCACTTGCCTGTTGGGCCCCAGCCCCACCCGGTCTCCCGTGAGTTGCTGGTCAGCCTACAAGTGCAACCTGTTTTCTAGTCTAAGTGCATCTTGTTTTCTAGTCCTGGCTTCCTGCCCTGACCTTGACCCTCTGACATCACCATCTAGCAGGAGGAAAACATGCTTTCTACTTCCTGGAGTTTTTCCACTGCACTGTAAGCCTGTATATAAAGCTGCTCCCTTCTACAAGAGAGACCTCTCCAAACTTGAGCCTGTATATAAGGCTGCTCCCTCCTACAAGAGAGAGACCTCTCCGCACTTGCAAATAAACACTCTCTCTCTCTCTCTCTCTCCCTCTCTCTCTCCCTCCCTCCCTCTCTTTCTCTCTCTCCCTCTCTCTCCCTCCTTCTCTCTCCCTCCTTCTCTCTCCCTCCTTCTCTCTCCCTCCCTCCCTCCCTCCCTCCCTCCCTCCCTCCCTCTCTCTCTCTCTCTCTCCTGGCAATAAAGGCAGCACATGCATTCTCTTAGTACAAACAGCTGGACGCCTTGTCTGTCTTTTCCTGATACCATGGACTTGCTTGTGGCGTGGGCACAGCACTTGCCCTCAGGGTATTTCTCCTGTCTAAGCTCCCCTGCTAGATTTGGGACTAGAGATAGCCTCTCACAGCCAAGGGTTCCAACCCTTCCCATTAGATGATGCTGGCCATGTCTCTGTCTGCCAGAGGCCCTGGGTTCTGGGCAGGGAGGGAGGATGCTACCTCCCACAGAGCACAAGGTAGGCAAGTCTTGGTGAGGGGAGCCTTGGCCTCATTGGAAGCAGGTATTCCAAAAGTCACGATGCTCACCAGAACTACCTGTCTCTACTCTATGGGGTGTAGCCCAACGGCAGCATCTAGCCAGGTTGCTATCCCAGGTCCCTGTGGTTTGGACAGCACTGCCACCAAACTTTCTGACAGCTTGTCTTCTAGGTTACTGGATCAGAGAAGCTAGAGGACCAGGGAACAATACTGTCCTTGATAAAAGAAAACTTCTCAGCCTGGATTCTTCACAAGTATAACACCCTTGGAAATGAAAGGAATGTATCAAATGCAGTCACCTGACTCAAAGCAATGTGGGCACAATATGGCTTTCCTAAATGAGGGTTCTAGTTTAACTGACAGGTCAGTTCTTCAGGTGGCCTTGAACTTACCACCTCTCCCTTTTTTTTTTTTTTTTTTGGTTTTTCGAGACAGGGTTTCTCTGTGGCTTTGAAGGCTGTCCTGGAACTCGCTTGGTAGTCCAGGCTGGTCTCGAACTCACAGAGATCCACCTGCCTCTGCCTCCCGAGTGCTGGGATTAAAGGCGTGCGCCACCAACGCCCGGCTCCACCTCTCCCATTTCTGACTTGTAGTTTGCAAGAATAACCGTGGGATGTGAAGGTTCCTGAGATTGGGAGGGGCAGGTCAGGAGAGCTGGGCTCGGCTCCTGCCTGCTCTTAGGCACAGGATGTTCTCTAACATGCTGACCCAGCCAGTCCTGTCCCATGTGATATAATACCCAGGCAGGCCACTTTCTAAGTTCCTGAGTGGCCTTCTTAAGCCATAGACAGCAGATGATAATGAACCAGTGTGCCTGCTGGGCCTTGCTGCCCACTCCAATAAACCTGCTCTGGTGTTGTGTAGCAATTTTCCTCCTAGATAAAACCTCTCATCTTAGAGGGAAGCTCATTAAGACACAGGATATTAAGAGGAGGTGAAACATGTTATAAGGGGAGAGGAAGTGTTCCATCCTCTAGGGAAGTTCTATAAGCTAAGGAAGTAAACAACTCACATAATTCTAGGAAGTCACTGAAACTAACCAGATTCACCATGTTCTGACCTCCCCAAGGTTATATAAGCAGCAAGACCTCTCAATGGCCTAGAAGAGGCAGATCAGCCAGGCTACCTGAAAGAGGCAGGGACCAGCTGAGCTACCTGAAAAGAACATTCTTCAACATGTTAAGCTGCCTATAATTATGTAGTGAGCTCTAGGTTTTCAGTTAGCTGTCACCCATGCTGGGGTGGGCTTTGGTGATGCAACTGTCTCTGAGTCATTTCTGCTCCTGTAAGTAACCCATCACCCATACTCCTGTAAGAAACCGAATAAAACTCACTGGTTCACCAAGTTAGACTTAGGGGGTGTCCATTCTTTAGTTTGTCTCTGGTTTCCTATCTGGGCTGAGTATTAAGCTACTTGTTCATGTTTTGTTGCGGAATATTTGTATACTGTATGAAGATGTGTTGTTGTGGTTGGTGTAATAAAAAGCTGAATGGCCAATAGCTAGGCAGGAGGTACAGGTAGGACTTCCAGGCAGAGAGAAAGAAAAAGGCAGAGCTGCCAGGCAGATATGGGGAGAATACAGGAGGCGTAAGATGGAAGAGAGGTGACGTCACGTGACAGATCGCAGATTAATATAAATGGGTTAAGTTCTGAGAGCTAACTGAGACAAGCCTAACTGAAAGGCCAAGCTTTCATAATTACTAAGAAGTCTTTGTGTCATTATTTGGGAACTGGCAATTCAAAGATAGTTTGACAAGAAAGCTTGCTGCAGTGTTTCCCCAGGAGCAGCATCGCCTACGTGTGTGCACCTTGTATGTGAGTATTCTCTCTCATCAGTTCAGACCAGCTGATAAGCAGAGCACTGTTTGGTGACAACAACTCAAAGGCATGGTCCCTGAAATGAATATCCAGTAAGATGTACTTGCATTATATAGAACACTGTTCAGTGAATGAAACAAGACCAGAAAAAGATTCACAAACGGAATGTCTTATGGAAAACAGTTATCTAAAATAGATACAACAGACTCTTAAATTTCAACAATATGGAAACAACCAGGGAGCCTGGAGAGATGGCTCAGTTGGTAAAGTACTTGTCGTGCAAGCCTGAGGACCATCAGCTCCTTAGTGCCCAGGAAAAGATCCAGGTTCTCCTGCAATCCCACACTGGTGGGACAGACAGACACAGGAGGATCCCTGGAGCCTGTTAGCTAGCTAGGGATGCACAGATGAACGAAGCACATGAAAAAATATCTCGTACTGCCGGCCCGGTAGTGGCGCACACCTTTAATCCCAGCACTTGGGTGGCAGAGGGAGGCGGATCTCTGTGAGTTCAAGGCCAGCCTGATCTACAAGAGCAAGTTCCAGGGTAGCCTCCAAAGTCACAGAAAAAACCTGTCTCTAAACCACCCCCCCAAAAAAAAATCCCATACTACACACCATAAGGGAAACAACAAAGATCAGTGGTTTCCAGGGGTTGTTTGGGAGAAGGGGTGGGCACACAGAGCAGAGGACCCTTAGGACAACTGAAAACACCTTGAGTGGTACTGCATTAGTGAACACAGATCACCACACACACCTAAACCCACAGAACTACAATAGGAGTGACCCTCATGTCCACTCTGAACCTTGGGCAACGGTAAAGCGACACAAGTCCCATTTTGTAAGGAAAGCTGGTAGTAGGGACAGCTGTACATGGTGAAGGGGCAGAGAAGACATGTAAAACCCATGTGTCTTCCCAATTTTGTTTTGATCCTACAACTCTTCAAAAATAAAGGTTTTGTTTTTGTTTTTTTTCAAGACAGGGTTTCTCTGTATTGTTTTGGAGGCTGTCCTGGAACTTGCTCAGTAGACCAGGCTTGTCTCAAACTCACAGAGATCCACCTGCCTCTGCTCCCTGAGTGCTGGGATTCGGCTTCTTTTATTTAAGTCAAGGTCTTTCTATATAGCAGTGACTGGCTTAGAACTCACTATGAAGATCAGAATCAAAGGTTTTATTTATTTATTTATTTAGAGTCAAGGTCATTCTATGTAGCAGTACCTGCACTGTGAAGAGCACATCTGGCTGGCTTAACTTTGTGGCAATCTTCTGGCTCTGCCTCCCAAGTGCTGGGATAAGAGGTGTGTATCACCATACCTGGCTTTAAAAGATGAGTCCCCTCCCCCACCAGCCTCCACAGTAAGAAAACTAATGGCCCAATGAGAAAATGAGAAGAAGGGACTGGGATGTATTTGAAAGTGGAGTACTTGTCTAACTGTGTGAGGCCCTGGGTTCTACCCTAGCATTCAGTAAAACAAACAAAAACAGAAAGAAAAAGCAAGCAATCAGAATATATGAATAGATATTTCATAAAGAAAATGTATACAGAAAGTAAAGCAAATTAAAATTAGGGCATATGGACCAGGTATGGTGGCACACGCCTTTAATCCCAGTACTCAGGAGGCAGAGGCATGTGTACCTCCGATTTCAAGGTCAGCAGTCTATAGTTCTTGGCCAGCCAAGGCTACATACTAAGACCCTGTTTCAAAGAAAGAAAAAACAAAACAAGCTGTAAGCAAACAACAAAAAACAAGAGTTGAAGAAATTAAAGAGCTTCAAGCCAAGACAACATGAGGCCCTGTCTCGAAAACCTAAGATTAAATAAATAAAATTAGGCCATGCTACCGCTATACCCCTATTAAAATAGCTAAAATTAAAATAGTGATGACACAAAATATTGGCAAGGATGTGAGGAGGTCCTTCACACATTGTTGGTGGGAATACAAATGGTATAGATATTGTGGGGAAAGCCGGGAGTTTCCTATTAGACTGAACATACTCAGACTCCAGAGAGATGAAAACTTATATGTATGAAAAACCCATCCATTACACAAATGGGCACAGCAACTTAATTCACGATATTCCCAAACTGCAAACCATCCAAACGCCCTTCGATAATGACTGTCTAAATAAAGTGAAACGTGCCGTCAGTGGTGTGAATACCATGGAGCAATAAGAAGGAAGCAAGTCGTGTTTGCTTTGGTAACAGATACACTAACATTGAATAAAAACAATACAAAGATTAGCATGGCCCCTGAACAAGGAGGATATGCCAATTTGTGAAATGTGCCGTATTTTAAAAAAGAAAGAAAACCTCACTTGGCCACATGCTATGATTCTATTTTTATAAATTTCTCAGTGCGACAAAACTCAGAGATTAAGGAAAGTTGTTTGGATGTCAGTGAGAAGGGTGTTGTAGAACGCGGCAGCTCTGAAGTGCAGCTGGAAGGGTTTCCATGGAGATGAGAGTTTTTGCAGTGTGGTCCTGGATACTTGGCTATGCCTGTGTCAAAGGAGGGAGCACACGTGCACTCACATACACACGTGCATGTACACATACATGCCTTTAGAGAATCGTTAGCATCGTATCTGGTGTTACTGGGGACATTCGAAAAGGTCATGGGGGCCTTTCTTCACTTCACCATTTCTTATGATTCTATAATTATCTTGAAATAAAAGTTTTTTCCACAGAACAACTTGACACTGTGGATGCAACCTAAACAATCTGACCAATGTCACTGAATGTGAACAGGACTTTCTATACACCTGCAATGTGGATTATAAAACAAAGGTCAAGATTATCAAACAAACCAGGTATGGTGGTGCATACTTGTAGTCCCAGCCTGGACTACACAGACAATTCCAGGACATCCAGAGCTACACAGTGAGTTAAGACTCTATCTCAAAAAACATACACAAAAACAACAATAATAAACCTAGTAATTTTAAACTATATATACCACTACATTAGGTTTTATTTAAGAATAATTTAAATGATAGATACTGTGGTATCTTTCTATTTTACCGATTTTTGGCTTGCCTCTAACGTCTTACATCTGTGTTTTATATATTCTGTGTTTTATATCAGTGGTTCTCAACCTTCCTAAGGTTTCCACCCTTTAATGCATCTCCTCATGCTGTGGTAACCCCAACTATAAAATTATTTCATTGCTACTTCATAACTGTAATTTTGTTACTGTTATGAATTGTAATGTAGATATTGGATTTACAGATATTGGATATCTGATATGTAACCCTCAAGAGGGTCATGACCCACAGGTTGAGAACCACTATTTAATATAATTTAAGTATCTATAGGGTGGCCAGGCGTTGGTGGCGCACACCTTTAATCCCAGCACTCAGGAAACAGAGGCAGGTGGATCTCTGTGAGTTTGAGGCCAGCCTGGTCTACAGAGAGAGTTCCAGGACAGCCTCCAAAACAATACAGAGAAACCCTGTCTCGAAAAACAACAACAACAACAAAAAAAAAAACAACAAAAAAAAAACCAAGTATTTGTAGGGTAGAGGACAAGTTTGTACCATACTGAAATAGATATTCTAATAATATCTTGTTTTATGACATTGAGACCTTCCTGAAGCTTTTACTGTAACATTCCATGAGTATTTTATCATATGCTCACTCAAAATTACATAAATACTTGTACATAAAACATTGAGAAATGAGGCCTCAAGCCAGACCAATGGATGAAGGAACTAAAGGGTGAGCTGTGACTCAATGGCCACACTACAGCTTCCACAAAAATCTTCTTCTTTTTGTTTTGTTTCTTTATTACGTTTGGTTTTCAGTTTTTTCTCTTAAATCTGGTTTTGATCGGAGGTTGCAAGGGCAGAGGGCAGATGCGAGGAGACGGGAAAATAAGTAGGATCGGAATGTAAGATGAAATCCATAAAGAATCAATAAAAGTTTTTAATGTTAAGAAAAACAGAATACCTTAAGAATTTGGAAATTCTGGATAATTCTCCTTAGTTTTAATTTACTATTTTTAGATTCCAAATTTTTAAACATATATTTATTTATTTATCTATCTGTGTGGGGGTGGGTGCACGTGAGTATGGAGGTCAGAGTATACTTGTGGGAGCTGGTTTTCATCTTCCACCATGCAGGTACTGGGGATCAAGCTTAAGTTGTCAAGCTTGGCGTAAAACATCTTTAACTGCTGAGTCATCTTGCCAACTCTAGGCTTTAAAATTTAACAGCCTCTCCTGATGGATGATCAGGTCTGGGTTTCATCCTAGGACTAAAACAGTCTAGCTGTTGGCCTAGAGAGTAGTCTCGTCTTAACCAACCCCCTACCAGAGCTACCTGGTCCCATCTAAGAGCATTTTCCATCAGGCAGCAAGCGACATGGCCATCTACTCCAACACCCACTCCAGCATGCAGAGTGCTGGCATACGCTCCTAGCAGGCTCAGAACACAAAACTGTGGTCCAGTGATGGGGGTGTCTGTACAGAGGACTCTCCTAATGTCTCTGGGTCCCTCCATCTTAAGGGTTTCTAACTCATCACACACTATTACACATCCTGTGCCCATGAAGATCTCAGGGCCTGGCACTCCCTTAATGTGAAGGGAGTTCCCTTAGAACAGAGTCTCCCCTGGATCAAGATCCACCCCCAGTGTAGAGGGCAGCCCACTGCTCCCGAGGAACTGAACATTTTTACCTTCAGCATCTCTGTGTAGCTTACCAATGGCACTGAGGGCATGCTGGAGTTCCAGAGCAAAGGCAGTTAGGGGCACATCCTCAGACACAGGCATCGCTGCTACCGTGGACAAGTTGCCAGGTGGGTTCCCCAAGTCCCATTTGTTGCCTGCTGTGTGAAGCCCAAGCTGGTGACCTGCAGGCACAGAACCAGGAATCATTTTGGAAGGCTGGATCACCAGAACAGCTTCCATGGTTCCAGCTGACAAAGGATGCCACCAAGAGGGATCAGGATCTGCTTTCCTCTCACAATGGCTAAAACAGGCCTTGACCAATACCAAAACTGATGTGTTCTAGTTTTGGACCAGCCACAATGATCTTAACCCTCCAAAGTTCGGGGAATTCAAGGAGCAAGAAAATTTGGAAAACACTCTGCCAGTTGAGAGTGCCCCCACCCCCACTCCAATGGTCTCACTGTGTAGCCCAGGCTGGCCTCAGATTTACCTTTCCTAACAGTATATATACTACCACATCTGGACGGACTTGCTCTTTATAGCTTTCTGTTTTTAATCACTCTAACAAACTGTAAGCTTAGAAAAGCAACAGACACACCTTTATCCACATGGGATTTTCAAAAACCAAAAAGCAGAGAGTAAATGAGGAAGATCATTCTGGGGCAGGAGCATGCTCGGAAGAGAGCAGAGGGGTTCTGAAGGAGAATGGAAGCAGGGAGAGCCTCCTTGAGACCAGCATATCCAAGAGTCCTACAGAACCTCACCCAGACACCCAGAGAGCTTGGACCTCCTCCCAGGGCCCTACTCAGCTGCAGAGGCTGAGGGCCACTCAACTAACACAAGGGCAAGACCAAAGGCATTTTTGTTTGCTATCCTGTAGCAGAAGATCCCGGTACAAGTTCTCTTGAGAGGGTCCCTCCTGAGTCCACAAAGGTGGTTAAGCACATCTCATGACACCTGATAGGCATGCCTTGACTTGACCAGGGTTTCCTGTGACACTGTCATGCTGTGGGTTCCCTGGCCACTGGTGTCCCACTCTCTTCTACAATGTCCCTCCTACCCATGACATTCCTTTTTACTCTGACACAAACAGACCCATCTTCATGCCTGGGCTGCCTGTCTTCATTAAGGGCAGTTTCCAAATGTCTGACTTCTTCTCTCCTCCTCACCCCAGGAGTAGCTTCCAGAAACTATCAGATACACAGTTCCAATTGGTTGGGCATTTATCTGCACACAGACTGACTTAGAAGCTCAGAGTAGAGGTACAGGTGGGACTCCAGGCCTAGGTGGAGCCCTGTTCAGTGACCTTGTAGGCTCAGAGCCAGGGATCAACTTGTAAAGCTGGGCCACTACCAGGACAGCCCCCATGTTTCCAGATGACACAAGGTACAGGATAGTAAGAGAGAGTTTAGAAAGGGTTTGCCATTCCAAGCAAACCTAAGAGAAGAAAGAGAGTGAGGGAGGAGTGGCACCCAGCTGTGACAAGCAGAAACAATTCTGCCTTTCTAAGAGGATACATGTATCTCACCCCCACACACACTACATATGTAATACATACACCCTCCCTACATCATACACATATCACACATACACTACACACATAATTCACATACATATCTCATACACATCACAAATATAGCACACATACCCACACAACTTGCATACATACCACCAGACACCATAACATAAACTCACACATGTACCTCACATAAACCATACGTGTACCATATATACGCACCTCACATATATGTGTCATATACTCACATACACAAAGATATTCACTGCAGAATTGTTAAAATAGTTGGGAAGGCCAGGGATAGTGGCACAAACCTTTAATCACAGCACTTGGGAGGCAGAAACAAAACCTCTGTGGTTTTGAGGCCAGCCTGGTCTACAGAGTGAATTCCAGGCCAGCATGAAACCCTGTCTCAAAAAATAAAACAGAACAAAAAACACAACCAAAAAATCCCACAAAAAATAAACGGAAATAGAGCTGAGGAGAGATGTTTGGTAATGGGAAAAACAGCTAAATGAATTACCCTTTTAGTTATCAAAAAATAAGCCAGGTATTGGTGGTGGTGCATGCCTTTAATCCCAGCACTCAGGAGGGAGAGGCACGTGGTTCTCTATGTGTTCCAGGCCAGCCTGGTCTACAGAGCAAGTTCTAGGGCAGCCCGAGCTACACAGAGAAACCCTGTCTTGAAAAAAACAAAAACCCCTACATCTTTATATAATGGTGTGAAAAGTTACTGAATGCTATAGCTATAGTTAATTTATAAAAATAATTCCATTGTTAAATAAACATCTCAAACTTTCCAAACCAATGTCTGGCCTTTTTTTTTTTTTAATGTATGCTTGCAGGTCAGAAGAGGGCACCATTTCTGCCAGAAGAGCCACCATATGGCTGCGGAATTGAACTCGGGACTTCTGGAAGAAATGCAGTGCTCTTGACCGCTGTGCCATCTCTCCAGTCCCCCGTATCTTTAAATAAGCAGAAACGATAAATAAGCATGGCCTGCTCGGCAGAGCCCAGACACTCCCCGATAACTCCCTGGTGCCTGTGCTTGGCACCATTTCCTGCTCACACTTGCCTCAGCCCCAAGTAGACCTGGGCCTCTAGCACACAG